TATCTATCTATCTATCTATCTATCTATCTATCTATCTATCTATCTATCTATCTATCTATCTATCTTTAAAGTTAAGACATGGTTTCAAGTTACCCAGACTAGTTTTAAACATACTTTGTAGCCCAGACTGGCCTTAACCGGCTGTCTTCTGCTTGATAGTCCTGGCATACCCCTTTTGAAATTAGGCTGGTAACAGCATTACTTGTTTTTAAACTGCTAGATCTTAGCTTTGCAACAGTATATCATCTCTACCTTTTCTTTTATTTCAGTGAAAGTAGAGCCTGTCCCTGCAATCAGCCCAGCTGCACTAGGCGCTGCTAGCCGGATCATCCAGACATCACAGGGCACCCCTGTTCAGACGGTGACCTTAGTGCAGCAGGCGCCTCTGGGTCAGCACCAGCTTCCCATAAAGACTGTAACACAAAACGGAACTCATGTGGTACCAATGCCTACAGCAGTGCACAGCCCGGTGAACAGTGGTAAGCAGCCTTCGGGCGCTCGCTCGCTCCTCACGGCTCTCTGGGGTTGCCGCTGGAGCAGAGGCTCTTCACTGATGGAAGGAAGCGTTGCGAGTTCAGTTTTATCCCGGTCGTGTCTCTGTGCGCAGAGATGTTTGCGTTTAAAGTTGGAGAAGTGCAGTGATGCCCTGAGTGTCGGCCAAAATAGAGCTTTAAAATGTCCACTGTGGCCCCTTTGTCCCTAGAAATTTTCTAATCTTTTTATTTTATGGTTACGGGTGTTTGCCCATATGAACTTGTGTGCACCATGTGTGTTCAGTGCCCACATAGGCCAGAAGAGGGTCTCAGATCCCCTGGAACTAGAGTTACAGGCGGTAAGTAGCTGCCCTTTGGTGCTGGGGTTGAACATGGTTCCTCTACAAGAGCAGCCAGTGTTCTTAACTGAGCTGGTTTTCCAGCCAACCCCAGAAATTTCTACAGCGCTCTAGGCATACATGAATGTACATGGTTGTGGAAGTAGGTGCTGTCTTTGTTTCCCTGACAAGACACCTGACAGGAGCAGTCTAATGTCAGAAGGACTCGCTGTGGTGTAGGGGGTGAGGGGACAGCGGCCATCCCGGAAGCTGAGGCAGAAAAGGCGGGTGCTAGTGCGCAGCTAACCTCTCTCTAAAGCGGTGGCACAAACTGAAGGTCAGAGGACAACCTTTGGACTGGGCTCTCTCCTTGTACCTTTGTGTGGACTCTAGGGTTAGACTCAGGTGACCCAGGTAGACAGCGAGCACCCTTACCTGCTGAGCCGTCCTGTGCTGGCCCAGAAAGACCGACTCAACCGCCCAGTAAAGAGATGCATGTGTTCAGTTACTCAGCAACACACAGATCACACGCCTGTGCTTCGTTCTTTGACATAAGAGTTAAACGTTGCTTTAGGACATAGAACAGCTTCACTGACTTGTTTTTACTTGGTAAAAAGCTGGGGCGGGAGAACTTGCTCTGTGATCTTCTGGACGTCATGACTTTAGTTCTCAGCATTCACCTCAGGGATCTGGCGGGGTCTCCTGGCCTCTGCAGGCACCACAGCATGAGTTTGCACAGGTGCAGAGATTTACAGGCATGCACAAAAATAAAAATAAACATTTGTAAACTGGTGCTGTGCGTGTGCCATCACACACGCGTGAGGGCGACTGTGACATCTGCTCTTTTCCACCTTTGTATAGGCTTCTTGAATTGAACTCTGACGGTCAGGCAGCAATTATTTGTTGTTTTTCTTTCTTTTAAAACTGTTAGCCTTTACCTGCTAAGTCATCTCATTGGCCTCATAGTTAGATTTTATAATCATAGTGCTGAGGAGACACCGTTTCTCATAAATACAGGCTACAAAATAGCAGAAGAATATGTAAGGTCATTAATTGTTACACAGTCTTCTAATCACAATAACAGTTTTTATCCTGCTTTCCCCACAATACAAATTTTATTGAATTTTTTAAATGAAAATCGTAGCAACTGAAGCAACAATTTTTGAACATTTCTTTCTTTTTTCTTTCCTTTTTTTTTTTTTTTTTTTTTTTTGAGACAAGGTTTCTCTGTGTAGCCTTGGCTGTCCTGGACTTACTTTGTAGACCAGGCTGGCCTTGAGCTCACAGAGATCTACCTGCCTCTGCCTCCCTACATGCTGGGATTAAAGGTATGTGCCACCATACCTGGCCTTTTTTTTTTTTTTTTTTTTTTAAGATTTATTTATTATTTATACAGTTTTCTGCCTTCATGTACACCTGCAGGCCAGAAGAGGGCACCAGATCTCATTATAGATGGTTGTGAGCCACCATGTAGTTACTGGGAATTGAACTCAGGACCTTTAGAAAAACAGCCATCTCTCCCACCACCCCCCCTTTTGTAAATTTCATGTGCATTGGTGTTTTTCTTGTATGTATGTCTGTGTGAAGGTGTCAGGTCCCCTGGAACTAGAGTTACAGACAGTTGTGAGCTGCCATGTCGGTGTTGGGAATTGAACCCAGCTCCTCTGTAATAGCAGCCAGTGCTCTGAACTGCCTGGCCATCTTTTCAGCCCCTGTTTGAACCTTTCAACCGTGCAATGCAAAGATATATTGATTTGATATTTAAATGCTGGGGAATAATGATAGAAAAACATTATTCCTTTTTTTCCATAATTAAAGCACAGTGTTACTATGATAGTAGAAAACTTTGTATATACATTAAACATTGCATTTCCTAGTAAAGATTCATGGGTCTGAGCCAGGATGTTTCCCAAAGCCTTTGCCGGCACTGTGTGCCATAATGGTATAAGCAGTGCAAAGTGTTTGTGTGTTCAAAACCAAGGCTGCCACACCTCAGCTCCATCGTGTGGTTGGCGTTGGGGGTGGAGTGAAGGTACTGCCTGTTCAGAAATCTTGTACTTCTGCCAGGGTCAGTGTGGTGACCCGGGGTCTAAGAAGGGGTGTGTCAGGAGATGCCTGGCAGAGAGAAGCGCTGCCCTTCACCTTTCGGGGATGGCGGTGCAGCGGGAACGGCCTGGGGTGTGGACACTGGAGGGCACTGCTTGACACCCTCAGGTTCACTGAGGCTTCGCTGTACCGTGGAGGTGTCCGCGAATTCTTACAGCCTGCAGGAAGCTGAGAATGCTGCTCTTGGTGCTTTTTGTCTGAAACCTCTTTGGAGCCTCATCCATGGAAAGTTTTCAGGGAAGAACTGTGGCGCATGCACAAGAGTTAATAAACAAATGGAAATAGTGGAAGAGCCCAAGCGCCTTCTTTAGACCTGCCTTATGGAACACTTTTTTGTTGCTGTCCTTGTTTTTAAAGATTCCTGAACCTGGCATTACACGTGGTTGTGAGCCACATGACACGAGTGATGTTGGGAACCAGACTTGGATCCTCTGGAAGAGTAAGCAGCAAGTGCTCTTACGGTGTCTGATTGTGGCTCGCCTTTAGTTCAGTCAGGGCTGGGGGATTTCTGGGGCTGGTGCTTCTTTACAAGAGTGTTTTATGGCTGGGGTGTGGTTCTGTGACTGAATGCTGCCTGGCATGGTCCAGGGAATTTTTTCCATAAAACTGTCGTCTGTATCACCATGCCTACGTACAGACACTCCAAGCCAAGTGAGAGACCTCTTCTCAGAAACAGAAAAGATGAGGGAGAACATCCAGTGCTGGCCCACACTCACGTGTGTGTGTGTCTGCCCATGTGTGTGCCTGTACTCACTCAACTTCAAGTTCTTGTGTTGATAAACTTGACCTGCCCCCTGGTGCCTCAAGCCACCACCCAGGTAGACACTGCCTTCCTGAGTAGCCGTGTCAGTATGACGCGCATAGCACCCAGGCGTGGGAACGAACGGCGAGGTGCCTGGTGCCTGGTGCCTGGCACTTGGAGTCTGCTGAGGAGATAGTTGAGATTCTCAGCTGCCTCCTCATGGGGCTTGTGGTCAAGGTCAGTTCTGCACAGCCCTGACACAGACGCCCCTGCCCAGCACTGCAGTGCCCTCTTGGTTTTCTCAGTTCATGTTCTCTCTCTCCCTCCTTTTCTCCTTCTCTCTCTCTCTCTCTCTCTCTCTCTCTCTCTCTCTCTCTCTCTCTCTGTGTGTGTGTGTGTGTGTGTGTGTGTGTGTGTGTGTGTGTGTGTGTGTGTGATCTGTCTGTATCTGTCATTTTTTTAGTAGTACTATGAATTGGGTCTTTGGACTGGTCCCAGTGTAACCTGAGGACCCGAGTTCAAGTTCTAGAATTCACATGATGGAAAGAGAGAACTGACTTGTACAGATTTTGACCTCAGCCAGGCACAGTGGTGCACGCCTGTAATCCCAGCACATTGGAGGCAAAGGCAGGCGGATCTCTGAGTTCAAGGCCAGCCTGACCTACAAATCGAGTTCAGGACAGCCAAGGCTACGAAGAGAAACCCTGTTTTGAACCCCCCGCCCCCCCCCCAAAAAAAATCTAACCTCTGTACATTGTACCGTGGCACATACATGATATGATTATAATATAATTAATATGTACACAGACAATATAGTGAACAATGCTTACAATACTTGGCATGTACGTTAGTCCCAGTACTTGGGAAGACAGAGGCAGATGGGTCTCTGAACTGTGACTCCGTCACACCCAGTGTTAGTAAAGCGGTGCCGAGGACTGGGTCCGGAGCTGTACACATAATGAAGCACGCCGGCACCGTGTATTTACGACCATTTTATTCTTTGCACATAAGTACCGCTTGCTGGCCTGGTATTCAAGGCCAGAGGTGTTGGATCTCCTGGAATTGGAAGTACAGATGGTTTGGGGCTGCCATGTGGGTGTTAGGAATTGAACATCAGTCTTGTGGAAGGGCAATCAGAACTCTTAACCACTGAGCCATCTCACCAACTTTAGAAATTAAGTTATTTTTGTGGTATTGGGGATTGAACCAGTGATATTTTTTTTCTTTTTTTTTGGGGGGGGGGCAGGGTGGTTTTTCAAGACAAGGCTTCTCTGTGTAGCCATAGCTGTTCTGGAGTCACTCTGAGGTCAGAGCAGGCTGACCTCAAACTCACAGAGATCCGCCTGCATCTGCCTCCTGAGTGCTGAAAATCAAGATCCCACTCGGGCAGCTTCTTTTTAAATTATTTTTGACACAGATCTCTTTTGAGCTCAAATCTACCTGATTCTGATTCCTGGGTGCTGGGCTTAAAGATGTATACCACCAGACCCAGCATTTTTGAGGATTTTAAGATGAATAAGTAGAGCTCTGTTTGATCCGAGACTGTATGTGGCCCCTGTGCACCTGCCCAGCCTGCTGCTTTCTCTATCCTGAAAAAGAGGCGTGTTTCCAGGATGCTGCACATCGCTTCCAGGAGAGTCACCCCATAGCTGGCCCAGTGGGGCCAGGGTGCCGCACATCGCTTCCAGGAGAGTCACCCCATAGCTGGCCCAGTGGGGCCGACACCCATGCACACTAGAGCTCACCACCTTTCCTCCAGCCTGTGTGCTGTGGGCCCACCTCCTCCAGGCTGCTCTGTATCCCGCTGCTCGCTGCGGCTGCTTGAAGAGTGCCTCCTTGGTCTGTCCTGGTTCTCAGACTTGCACTTACACCGTTGTTAGAGAACTGCTTGACTCCCTATCAGGCCCCTGTCTTAGTGTTTGTGTTCCTGTAACAGTAGCTAACACTAGATACTTACAACAAGCCAAGTCCCTGGCTCTTAGGGTGGTTGGCCCATTCTCTAGTAAGGTACCACCTACTGCTGGTGCCGCCTTGCTGCTGTCTGCAGGAGGAAGGGTTAGGGTTATTTTATAATGCACCCCTCCCTCATAATGGCTCTAATCCACCATGAGAACTGTCTTCTTGCCAGAGCCCTGCATGGTGCTGTTGGCAGTGGCTGTGACCTAAAGCCACCGACACTTCCTACATACATATATTTGGGGCTGTGTGTGTATCTTTTTCTGGTCGTCTGACGTCTGTGAACTTTGACAGGAAGTAGGTGTGCAGTGAGGACTGGCACAACCGCCCTTCCTCTGTGTACAGCCCTCTCAGTTCCATAGACTGGGCTTGCATGGGAGGGTGCCCTGTTCGTGGTGGATCGGTGTCCTCTTTCTTCTCACAGCTCAGGAAGTGGGCAGAGCAGGACCTGTGTGTGGGAGCCATTTTTCCCAGAAGTGCACAAACTGGAGTTGAGGAAGAACACCTCTGTCATGAGGCTTTGGAACCGAAATTTGAGCTCCAGCGCAGGCTGGAGCTAGACTGGCCCTGAGGGTGTCTAGGCCATATGCCCAGACCCTCAGCACTTACGTCCTGCATCTGTAACAGTGGTTAGGCAGCGGGCCACACTCAGCATCAGCCACATTAGGAAAGCTGAGAGGGCAGCTGGTGCCTTCTCCATCGCAGCTGGATGATGTGATTGCCACTGACAGTGGGACCTGCCTCTCCCAAGTCCCTGTGGCAACTCATGTACAGTGGGTTAGGGATGTTACAGAGCTTGCCTAGCATGCACAAGACCCTGGGTTCCACTTTGTGGCTGTGTTTATGCTGTGCTCAGGTTTACTGGTGCCTTGCAGCTGTGGAGAATCTGACAACTTGAAGGAGCTTTGTTATACCTGGACTGGAGGACAGGACTCTTAGTTTTGTTTTGTTTTGTTTTGTTTTGTTTTGTTTTGTTTTGTCAGTGAGCTGCTGTGAAGCAGCCAATGTGCTCTGTGTGGGTTTTTCAGCCTATTTCTTGTTCCCCTGGTGACATGATGACTTACATGTCTCAGGAATGTACTGCGTGTGACAGGGACAGCTTAACTTGAAAGAACAGTGTCAGGCTCCTATTGGCATCTGTGTTTTGGAGCTGTCTGGAGAAGCAACCAGCAGGGCTTGATACATGTGAGTAAATGCACTTCCAAGAGAAGACAGCTTGCAGGTTGTGGTCGCCATGCTGGTAGGATGTGCTAGAGGCTGAGGCAGGGAATCACAAACTGAGAAAAATAGACCTTAAGGAGTCCGCTTATGTAGGTGTGAGGCCAGTTCAGTCAGAAAAGACGATTGCTGTAATGCGAGGGCCAAGTAGAAACAGGCTCTCCCTTCACAGCTCAGCCAGGTTCCTCAGCTCTGTGCTGAGGCCCATCTAGGTTGGCAGGCACTGTACTCTGCTCAGTGTTTGTCTTATGTAACAGCATCTTCGACAGAAACCTAGCTGCTGCCGTTCACGTAGGCAGCCTTGGCATGCAGGATTTCCCGTCGCCTCAGTTGGAAGTCTAGCCTTTGCTGTAGTCAGGGCCTCAGGTCTGGCACTCTGGACACTTGGGGAGGTGGATCTCTACAAGCTCCAAAGCTACATACTGAGAATGTAAAAAAGGGGGGGGATACTGTAGGTGTAACCTACCCCCAAAAGACATTCATGGGGGCACGTGACACACATGCACACGAGAGGTCAGAGAGCAGCCGTGGGAGTCGGTTCTCTTCGTATGTTCTGAGTATGGAACTCAGCTTCTCAGGCTTGGCAAGTTGTAACCTACTTTGCTAGCATAACCATGTCTTCTGTAGACAGATGCTCTAGATAATGTCCTGAACAGGCGAGAATTGCTGTCTCGGGACCCGGAACAGTATTATTTCCTCTGCAGAGGGCTCAGCATTCTGTCCTCCAGTGAGCAGTCTTGTCTCGGCCATACTGACTCCCGAGTAGCTTGTGCTTTCTCGGAGGCAACAAAGGTTCTTCTTGCTGTGGAGGTGCCTGCTAGCCAGGCTTTGTCCTGTTGCAGTCCTCCTCTGCTTAGGATCCTCTGTAGGGCTGTCCCTGGGGTTCTGTGCAAAGCTCAGGTTGGGCGTGCCGGGGTGGCCCTGTGCTCAGGGGTTCACACTCGAGTGCAGGTTCTGATTCCTCTCTGTCTTCAGCAGTGGCGAGCCCTCTCCACATGTTGGCCACCCATGCATCAGCGTCAGCATCCCTGCCTACCAAGCGCCAGAACGGTGACCAGGCAGAGCAGCCAGAGCGCAAGCGCATTAAAGCGGAAGATGGTGAGAGCATCGTCATTGCTCTGAGCGTGGATGCACCGCCAGCGGCTGTGAGAGAAAAGGGGATCCAGAACTAGCTGCTGGGAGAGCTTTTCTTCAGACATCAACTTTGTGGTGCCAAAAGGAGATGCTGCCTCTGACTGAAGCAGGGAGCACGTCCTCAGTGGGTAAAGGGCCCTGCGGTTGGACTTCGCCTCTCAGCACTGAAAACGTGAACCCAGGTGGCCTTAAAACTCCTTAATTTAAAGACATTACACTTGAACAGACCCACAGCAGCAACCCTGCTTCCGGAGGTGATGTCTCCTACAGAGCACTGGCTGGGCTGCCGTCTGCGGGCTCCAGCTTTTACTACAAGCAAGAACTCCAGGTCCCGAAGGACTGGGCATCCTATGAGGATGCGGCGCCTGCTGCAAGTGGATGTCACTGGCTGTCCTTTAGGGTTCAGAGCCACAGCCACCTGCTGCCCTCATAGGACCTGCTGGCTGTGGCTGAGAGACAAGACAGTGTTTTGTTGTCCACATGTGGAATTAGAATACTTGGGGGTGTCCTTTCTTTGCTAAATAATGGGGTCTTTGACATTTCATATCACTCCATTTCTGCTCTGGAAATTTGAGGTTCATCTGGGGGGAAGAGCGTCATTTTGTTTGTTTCTGTGGTTTGTTTTCAGCCCACGGGAAGGTTTGCTCTAGTCTGTCCTGCCTGTGTTTGGGTGGCACTCCCTTAGGACACCTACTTGCCCATTTCTGTTTAGAGCAGTTACCTGATGAATTTACCCTGTGCCACTGTAGAGAACGGTGGGCTGAGGCTGCATGGACCCATGAGGCCTGGGGCCTTCCAGCCTCCGGGCTGCACGTGCCTGCTCTTACTTGCGGGTTTGTTGTCTGTTTCTTTATGTCGACTTTGTTCTTGGCGTAATTTTCCACTCTAGTAAACAAGTCTCCTACATTGTGTATGCTTAAAGCAACAGACCCTTCCTCCCTCTGTGGGAAATAGGTCCAGGCTTTTGTCACACGTTTTCAGACCAAGGTCATAGATCTCTGCAGAACCTCAGGAGTCTTAGCTCAGCTCTGGCTTCTGACTGCATGGCTCACTCATGGCAGGAGCCGTTAGAGAGGTGTTGCCAGTTAACTTGAGGGTTGTGGAAGTAAACCTTGTGGCCAAGTATCGAGCATTCAGGCCGCTTTCTGATTATCTGATTTCAGAGATGTCTCAGGCTTTTTTATCGAAGCCCCACACTAACCCTGATTCATGTCATATAGTAAGTATAATTAAGAGGGAAGGGTGAAGAGAGGTGGAGGCCAGCAGCCTGGCCCACACTCGGGATCACCACTCACCTTTCCAGAACATTCTGGACCTAGAGCTAAGCAGCAGGCAGAGGGTGATAGCCTCATTGTGAGTTTTTTCCCCCTAATGTCATCATATGGTTATTTATTTAAATGTAGTTATTTTGGTATTTAATTTTTTAAGGGGGGGAGGGACTGTATTTTCCTGGTAGAAGGAAATGGCTCAGAATGGTATATCTCGGCAATTTAAAGCATTACTTCCATAAAGACCAAATATGCTAAGTGTGCTCTAAGTGTGCTTCAGCCGCAGTATGGAGCTGTCACGGTGTCGCTGCAGCTGATGCGTGCTGGCATTTCGCAGTTGCTGCACACCAGCTGGACGCCAGAACGCGGCCACTCAACGATAAAGGTGAGACGCCATGTGAGCGGGAGCGTGTGTGCCCACCGCAGTCTGCCGCCATCATTTTTGCAGGTAACCTTGGAGTGTGCATTTCCTGAAGGTTTGCCGTTTGCAGAGTAAGTTAAAGTCCTTCAGCTCGTGCTGTGTCCACCATGTGGGTCCAGATTTTGGGCTTCAGTTAACGTGATGCTCTGGTGGAGGCCACCCTAGTGGGGGTGGGCTCACACTCCACCAGCTGGGCATGCTGTGTGTCTGGGGACATCTGTGAGTAGCAGGTGACCAGGGCTTGGGTGATGCCCCCTGTGAGTGAAGCCTGAGACTGGCACCTGAGCCCCGGACCGTATGGGTCTGCAGGGGGTTCTTTTGGGGATCATAGGAAAATTTAAGGTAGAGGAGGGTTTTTCTGTTTCCTTTAAGGCCACCTTGTCTGTCTCAAGTGGGTGAAGTGTGCCTGTGCAGCCACAGGCATGCACTCGTTTCTCCTTGCTGCTGTATCGGCCTTGCTGCTGCTTTGGTACATAGGAATGTAAAGCTGTCAAGGAGAGGGCAGAAGCTAAAGCTTAGCTTAACAGTACTGAACCCAGGTTCTCTTCCCAGTGTTCTGGCACTGCTTTAGTTTATGTTCATCTGAGTTCCCAGAAGGCTCTCCACACGCCAGAGCTGGGCTCCTGTGCTGTAGCCCTCACAGATGTCTGATGTGGGGACGTAGCACCTGGCAGCAGTTCCCAGGTCCGCTGGCACCTCAGTGTTGAATGCTATAGGAGTCTCTCTTTGACCTTTACCAAACCTCTGAGCTCCCTCAGGGACTAGATGACTTCAGCAGCTTTGGCCTGAGCCGCACAGAACACACAGGGAAGCTCAGCTGTGTCCTGGGTACAGTGCACTCCAGAATGTGGTGTGATTTTGTATGGACACTCCCACACTGCAGAGTGTGCGCGGACAGCAGCGGGTCTCCGTACATGCCCCGCCCCACTTCCTTGTCCTCTGCTGGGGAGGGCGCTTCACAGAGTAGCTGTAGTTGAGAAGGGGTTGGGGAGCATCAGGACTTGGGTTGTCTATGCTGTGTGACACAAGGAGAGAAGTGACAATCGTGAAGTCCAAGCACCTGCAGGTCTAGAGGAAGCAGAGTGCTGATATGTGTGCAAAGATTTGGAATTTTTAAAAAGTACCAAGTTCCTGAAATTCAATAAAATATTTTTATTAATTTTAATTGAATACAGAGTATCACTGTCTTTTGACAAGCAGATGCGTCTACCTTTGTAGTCTGTGCTGGGGAGACTAGCAGGACCTGCGCAGATGGGCTGCAGCACAGGGTCTTCGTGACAGCTGCAGCTGTACGGGCAGCGGTGTGGCAGCTCACTGGCTTTCCAGCGCTGAAGTTCCTTTAGTGTTGTAAGTTGTGCTTGTCTGCTCCTCCTCCTGTATGCTTGACCTTTGACCTAAGGATAACAGATAGGTATATGGGTGTGGAGGTTCCCAGGTAGTGACACTGGTCTCCCAGCTGCTGCCCAGGCCACCACATGACTAATACTGGACATACGGAAACAGCAGGCATGGGGGCGTGTCCAAAGCCAGGAGTGTACACAGTTGTCTGCCCCGCCCACAGGGCGTCCTAGAAAGTGGCTCCCACGGGCTGTGGCACTGGGGACATGGAGGCTCCAGACCTTGGCCAGGAATTGGGAAGGTTGCTTGGTAAAGTGTTTGTTATGCATGTGCAGATCTGATCTCCAGAACTTCGCAAATAGGTGTGGTAATCCTGTAATCCTAGCACTCAGAAGGTAGAGGCAGACCAACCAGAAATGCATGGTCATTCTTGACTACAAAGCAAGTTTGAGGCCAGCCTGGGCTACATGAGACCTGCTCGGAGGGTTTGAGGGAGAGGAGGAAAATGGGATACTGGCTGGTGGGTCCAATTATGTTTCCTGTTGCCCTTTTTTTCTTTGTATTATGGCCCCAGGTTGAGTCAGTTGTAGTGTACAGGAAGGCCAGAATCTGAGCCTTCTAACCAACAGCAGAAACGGTTTCTGGGAGGAGATAGCAGCATGCAGGAGGGTTAGAAATCCCCTGTTAGCACTGCACCCCGCATTCATCTGCAGCCAGCGTGGCGAAAATGGCCCGAAGGAGCTGGGGATCGTCTGAGCAGCTCAGAACAGGCGGGGAGAACCCTTCCACACCGGCCTGGATGTGGGCACACAAGCTAAGTGGACATGAACTCGGCACAGCAGTCACGTTCCAGAGCGTGAAGCAAATAGCCGGAGAAAGCTAGACATAAAAAGGACAGCCATCCCCTCCAGTGTGACCCAAAGTTAAGTGACAGCAGACACCGTGAGGTTAGGGCTGGCCATGCTTCCTGAAACAGCAAATGCTCTTTAAACACACCAACAAGGTATAGATCTTAGGCATAAATTATTCAGTTGGTAGAGCATTTGGGAAGAAAAATTAGCTTCAGGGACATATGCCCCTTGGTTCCTAGCAAAAGGCAAAAGATGGAGTTCCTTCAAAAAAAAGGAAGTGGATATGCTGAGGCCCATAAGTGTAGACTACTCAGAGCCTCAGAAGACCACGGACATCTTAGGTCCATAGGTGTAGACTATACTCAGAGCCTCAGAAGACCACGGACATCTTAGGTCCATAGGTATAGACTGAACTCAGAGCCCCAGAGGATCATGGTCATCTCAGGCCGTGGATGGGGAGGACACTGCGGTCACTTAGGTCAGTGGAGGGACACCCAGCAAAACTGGAGGATTTAAAGGCTAAAGAACAAGCAAAACAAGATGCTCTTTTAAATAAAAACAGAACTAGCCAGGGCAGCTGCTTTTGAGGGCCAAGGAACTCCTTGTTTTTTCACTTCACTGATTATAACAGGTAAAAGCTGGTAACGGGTAAAAACAGGTAAATTTAAAGTTTTAGGACTAAAGGAAAAAAAAGTTAGAGCTGTTTAAGCAATATTCTCCTGTTTTAAATTGTGATCCGTTTAATTTGCCTGTACTAAAATTACTCAAAGCAAAACCTGCAATTGGACTTTCAGAATTGTCACAGTTTAGTTAGAACATTTATTTCAGTAGTTATAAAGGAAGCAGAGCTCTGAAGCAGTAAAACCCGTCCTGGAAAGTTAGGTCTGTAGTCTGTGCTATGCAGTAACAACCACACCAGTAACCACAGCTCAAAGCAACAGGTGAATTTTGATTTTTCCCCAAACAGTTCAGAAGAATGCAGAAAAGCAGGGAGGGGAACAGACACCGTATATAGCGGAAGCATCATTGGCCGACGTAAATAGTCTGAAATACCAGTTAAAGACACTGCAGGGCCGGTGATGAAGCATTTTCCTAGTGTATGCTAACAGTAACAAAAACAACCAACAAAGGGCCAGTGAGAGGCTAAGTCAAGAGTACTGGCTGCCGGGCCTCATGGCCTGAGCTCAGTGTCTCGGTCTGGAACAGTTGGAGAGAACCAGCTCCTACAGGAGCCCTCCCACCCTCCAGGCCTGCACCCTGGCCTTCGTGCCCCATACATATAGAGGTACACACACAAGACAGTAACCAGTGAACAAGGAATGAAACAGTTAACTTGAAAGTTTCCAAAAGAATGCTGGGGAGGAAAACGAAGAAATAAACAAAGTCAGAGGCCTCGAAAGAGGGACCTGCAGGAGTGGGGACTGCTGCTGAGCCTGATGGCCTGAGTTCATCTGTGAGAACCAAACAAAATAATGATGCACACAGCAGATCTTACATGGAAGAGGTTTATTAGATGGAGAAGAGAGGAGAGAGCGAGACATGATGGGGAAAGAAGGCGGAGTGCCCAGACAGAGAAAGGGGAGAGGGTAAGAGGGCAAACGAGTAAGAGAGAGACAAAGTGGCTGGTTGAACCTTTTAAGGAGCAATGTTAACTACACCTGCCAGATGTGGCTACCTGGCAGATGACACGTGATGGCATCATAGATTGCTAGGCAACCCAGAAGCAGGCTGCCTAAACACTAACATTCTTTTATTTTTCAGTAATTAAAAGAGTTTGAGCTGCTTCTCATGTAAGGCAAGTTAAAGTATATAAATTTATTTACTTCATTGGAAGCAGGTCTTGATTGCCATGCAAGGGGGTATAAGAGAGAAAAAAAATAGCAACAAAATGTCCAGATTACGTGGTCAAGAGGAGGAGGGGAAGCCCCTGCCCTGGAAAGTTCAGGGCAGAGGGTTGCCAGTAGAGAGTTGTGAGACTGAGGAATGCTGGGAGAATACTAGGAGCTACTGTCCTGGTCCTGAAGCATATCATTCCAGCCTTTGTTAATAAGTGAACAATGGGCATAGATTCCCTTCTGGCTACTTCCTGCTGACACTGGGGGCGCTGGAGGGAGGTCAAAAGGCTGAGTGAGATGCTGGCCAAGTCCAGGAAGAACAGGCTGTTTTGATGCTGTCCAGGGTCTGTAAGAACATCCATGGCTGGGAGGGAAAGTGCAGGTCCAGCTTGATGGAAGTCGTGAGGTCAGACTGGAACACCTGTGGTAGCTGCTTTGGCACTGCCGTAGGTGTAGGAAACACCTGGATCTGGCAGGATACTGGAACATACATAGGCAGAAGACGAAGTTAAGTAGGTTATGGAAAAAATTCCTTTAGGTGTACATTTAAAACTTTTGGGAGAGCGAACAGAGGTGGAAGGTTTGTATCAAAGAGACTTGAACATGGGAACCTCCATTTACCCAATCACTGGCCGTAATTAAAAAGGCTTTACTTTAGAGCTGTCATTTAAGGAAATGGAGGCCAAGTTTGGTTAGAGAAGTGTCTAAGCTTAGAGGCCCTTAAGGCAGGCACTAGGTGTAGAAATCTGAAATTCTCCAGAAGACATCTCCGAGGAGAATCTGGAGGAACGGGAGAATGGACTCTTCCCATTGGGGGGCAGGCGTCAGTGACCTGTCAGCACATCTGCTGGGTGGGGCGGCACACATCTCTATCCCAGCGCTTTGGAGGCAGAGGCAGGCAGCCTGGTCTATACCGTGGGTTCCAGGGCAGCCAGGGCTACATAGTGAGTCCCTGTCTCGAAAAAAGAAAAGTGGAGGGACCTGGGAGGCACAGAAAGACGTGGCTCCATTCCACACAAGACCCCCAGCCTCTTACCAGTGCTCTGCTCTACCCTGCCCCCACCCTCCGAAGCACATGCTTCAAGGATGGTTGTTGGAAATTCTCCTCCCATCATTGTAAGCTGTTAGTTCAAATTCACACAGATGAGAATAGTTTAAGAATACATAAGGTCAGCAGAGTCAATTGTCTTCATTTTTATTCCATATGCAGTGGTGTTTTGCCTGCACTTGTCTGTGTGAGGGCGTCAGATCCCCCGGAACTGGAGTGACAGTGAGAGCTGCCATGTGGGTGCTGGGAATTGAAGCTGCGTTCTGTGGAAGAGCAGCCAGTGCTCTTAAGTGCCGAGCCGTCACTTTAGCCCGAGTCGTTTGTTTTCTACACAAAACATCCAGGAAAACATCAGGTGATGTTATGACAGCTCTGTCACTCATTCAAGACCAGTTTTTGTTCTATTATTTTGTTTTGAGACAGCGTCTTTCCTTCCCAGGGTTACCAGTGTGTAATATGCCTGTAATTCGGGATACCACCAAACCATGTATGTGGTTCTGGAAGGTGAACTCGGTGCCTTGTGTATTTGTGCTAACCAACCAAGCTACATTTAGCCCTAAACCAGAACTTTTAAGAGTAAGAAAGTGTGCCCGGCAGTAGTGCATTCTTGTGATCTCAGTATTCTGGAAACTAAGGCAGATTACTCAAAGTCCAAGGCAGTTTGAGTTAGAGATGAAGGCCCTGTCTCAAAAAACTGGGGGAGGAGGGAGGAAGGCAGGCAAGGATGGTGGTGCATGCCTGTAATTGCAGCGCCTGGGAGGAGAATCAGGAGTTCAGGGTTATCCTCTGCTATTCAGCAGCCTGGCCCACATGAGACACAATAGCTAAGACACAGACGCCCGTAGCTGTTTAATGGCTCGTGAGACAGCCCGGGTGGCAGCACAGTTCACAGAGCCCAGCCTACTCAGGATGATCCTCGGGGACTGAAGCTGGGCAGGGCCTCTTATCCCAGGAGAGGCAAGAGGGGATACTGGTTTTGAGCCTGGACCACACAGCAAGTCTGTGTCGGTAAATAAATGTGGAAAATGTGCCCCTTGTCCAGTCGTAGTGCTGAGGTTAAAAAGCAAATGAAAGTGCTTAGCTGAACCCCTGGGAGCG